TTCATCTCAGGCATCTTGAACTTGGGACCTTTCAACTTCCCTTCTGGTCCTTCAAAACTAACATCAGGGCCTTCAATGTCTACTTTAGGGCCTATAATATCCACTCCTGGGCCCTTGACTTCACCTTCCAGTTTGGGCAAGGACACATCCACATCACCTTTCAATTTTGGACCTTTCAGATTCAAATCAAAGTCAGGCATGGAGATCTTGGGAGCTTTGATGTTCATCTCAGGCATCTTGAACTTGGGACCTTTCAACTTCCCTTCTGGACCTTCAATATTCACATCAGGAACATCAATGTCCACCTTGGGCCCTGAGACATCAATGTCAGCCTTGGGTAGGTTCACATCCACTTCAGTGCCCTCTGCTTTAAAGCCAGGCATGCTGAACTTGGGCATTTTCATCTTGGGCATCTTCAGGTGCCAGTCTGGGCCATGAACATCCACATCTGGAACATTAATGTCCACTTTAGGGCCTTTGATGTCAACCTCTGGGCCTTTAAGATCACCTTCAAGTTTGGGAATAGTAACATCTGCATCACCTTTTACCTTGGGGCTTTTCAGGTTCAAGTCAATGTCAGGCATGGAGATCTTAGGCGCTTTGATGTTCATCTCAGGCATCTTGAACTTGGGACCTTTTATGCTTCCTTCTGGACATTCCACATTGAGTTCTGGGCCCTCAATATTCATACTGGGACCTCCTATATTGATGTCTCCTTTTGGTAAATCCATATCAGGCCCTTCTGCTTTGAAGCCAGGCACACTGAACTTGGGCATTTTCATCTTGGGCATCTTCAGATTCCACTCTGGACCATGAACATCCACATCAGGTGTATCAAGATGAACCTCTGGTGTCTTAATATCCACTTTGGGACCTTTAAACTCTCCTTCTAAATTTGGGCTTGCTACATCTAAGTCCCCTTTGACTTTAGGACCTTTCAAATTTAGCTCCACATCAGGCATGGAGACTTTGGGAGATGAAATGCTCAGGAAAGGCATTTTGAACTTGGTTCCTTTCACTTTACCTTGGGCTTCAACTTCTGGAGCATTAATATCAACTTTTGGAGCTGTTACATCAACATCTGGCTTCTTAACTTTGACATCCACTTCAGGTGTCTGAACTTTGGACCCAGAAAAATTAAATTTAGGAAGCTTAAAACGAGATTTTTTTGATTTCCCATCAATATTGACCTTAGGAGAAGAAATGTCCACTTCTGGGCCCTTCACATCCAATTTAGGAGTTTTAATGTCACCCTCCAGTTTGGGTCCAGATATATCAACATCTCCCTTGACCTTTGAGCCCTTCAAATTCAAGTCAATTTCTGGCATGGAGATCTTGGGCATGTTGACATGCATGTCAGGCATTTTCAGTTTGGGACCTTTTAATTTGCCTTCAGGACCATGAATGTCAATATCTGGAGCATTTACATCTAATTTGGGGCCCTTTATGTCAAGAGAACATGCTTTTAAATCACCCTCTACATTTGGAAGTGAAACATCCACATCTCCTTTCAGTTTGGGGCCTTTAAGATTAAGATCCAAATCAGGCATGGAGATCTTGGGAGCTTTGATGTTCATCTCTGGCATCTTGAACTTGGGACC